TTATCAATATATCACTGACCATCCAGCCTCGTCTTCTCATCAATAATTCATCCCACACAATTCCATCCCACAAGCCCGTCGGACTCTCTTGCTCAGCATCATCACAGCTTCAGCTGCTTTGATCTCCATCACTTTGTTCTACCTTTTTAATGTTCTTTTGTCAAGTCTTCAGAAGCTCCTCTCTCCATCCCCTCTTTAGCTCTTTCTTGATACTGTGAACACTCTTCTCCAAGCTATCAACTCTACTGCGCTCGGTTTATGAACCTATCTTTATATATTTTAAAGTCCCAGTTTCATCTAAGGACTTTATCTGTTGTATCTTGTCATCGTTTCTTTCTTCTTCTTTAATTCACACACTTTTACAACTCTTTTCCTACACACTAACACTACCAACATCACCTTTACCCTAGGTGATGAACACTTCACAAACACTTAATGTCAACTGTCACCAACACGTTGCAGGTCTATCAACTCCATGTTGCACCCAGTGATCGGCACTATGTAAACATCGCATCTTACTATTATCATTAATTTCTAACTTTTGCAATGCGTCCCTCCGGCCGCAATCCGGCTTTTATAGATTTAGAGGAACCCTCGGGAGTAGTGGATGGTTTCAACAATATTTATGAAGACCAGCAAGCCGTTTGTGAGAGTTTTATAGAGAGTTTTGAGGCCACGATGGAGGTGTTGTCTCATAGTATTGTCGTCGGCTGCTCTCTCTCTTCCAGGACAATGGTTAGTTGTCTATTGATACAAATTTGTAATGCGTACGTGTGTGTGTGTGTGTGTGTGTGTGTGTGTGTGTGTGAGGAAGTGGGGGAGGGATAGATGGAGGGAATAATGAAAAGCTGGAGAGTACATTTTTATACAAGACAAACATGGGGTTAATGATAGATTACTTTAGCTACGTAAATATGATTAAAGACATAAATTCAAACTAGTAATTATCGACAAGTACATCTATGTACATATTAGTACATATTAGCTATGTACACTCTGGTGAGTACATAGTTAGGTGGCGTACTACCACTCCCAAGTCCTCGTCTGCATAAACTTTCTCCTCAGCAATTCCAAACCCATTTCATGTGCTAAATAACGTTACACGATAACAAACTATATAAAAAATATATCTGTTTAAGCATTCAAATGGTAATTATAAAGAATATTTAACACATTCCTAACACAACCCCAAATTGTTCACCTTGGAACACAAGTATGTATCATTATCAATGTTTGTCATGATGACCAAACAACACACCTAAAGATGATGAGACGACGACAATTCGGTCCCTCCTCCACCATTATCAAGTCGATTGTGTTTGCTTTCGCGCTAAATTATCAATGTTCGCTTTCGCGCTAAATTTCACAAGCCGGCCCAGGTACACATGACCGTTTACCTTCACCCACTTCTACCCTGGAATGTAATCCCCTGTGAGCAGCTGACAAGCGAAGCTAGTTACACAGCTGAGAGCACTCCACGTGAGGCGCACATCCCAAGTCCAAACTCTCTATCTTTGTATTTTACATTTATCTTCTCTGTCTCTGTCTGTCTGTCTCTCTCTCTCTCTCTCTCTCTCTCTCTCTCTCTCTCTCTCTCTCTCTCTCTCTCTCTCTCTCTCTCTCTCTCTCTCTCTCTCTCTCTCTCTCTCTCTCTCTCTCTCTCTCTCTCTCTCTCTCTCTCTCTCAGTTTCTCTTACTGGTGAATGGCCGCAGAGGAGTGCTGTGGGAGGTCCGCAGCCACCACACTTCCAAATACTCACTGATAATTAAGTTAACGTATTTCCACCGCTATATAAATATACCAGTATAAGAAAGGCGTCTCTATTCACAGTGTTGACAGCTTTCTGAGTCTGAGCAATTTTACAATTTAAATTATTTAACTTTATAAAGTCAGGTTCTTTCTCATTTCCACACAAGGTAAATAGATGCAAATGATTTCAACAAAATTTGCCCTATAATTCCACCACCTACACTCTAACTCCACCTACTACCCCACCTCCACCTCCACTCTCAGGGTCCCACCTCCACCTCCACTCTCAGGGTCCCCACCTCCACCTCCACTCTCAGGGCTCCACCTCCACCTCCACTCTCAGGGCCCCACCTCCACTTCCACTCTCAGGGCCCCACCTCCACCTCCACTCTCAGGGCCCCACCTCCACTTCCACTCTCAGGGCCCCACCACCTTCACCCTCGCCTATATCTCCACCCATCCACCACCTAAGTAATACCAACATTAACACTTAGAGGCCAGCCAGTGACTTTGGCTCGTTCAACAATATTCCTGAAAAAATTTCCCCCTTTCCCCTCCTCCACCTTCTAGTGGGGGTGGGGGTGGGGGGGGGGGAGGGTGAGGGAGGGAGATAGGAGGGATGGAGGTAACAGTCAATGTTTACAAGTGATAATGTTGGATCATCCACAAGCGAGATTACAGGTCAGTCAGACCTTAGTAACAGAGCTTACAGTAACTATCTCCTACTAAGTTTTGCATAATGGAAGTAAGTGTGTTTCTGATACAAATAAAAATGTTCTGTGTGAGTCACTAACTTGCAGGGCCTCCTACTTATCTACAACGCAAAGAGACGTTGGGTTTACATCGTTTTAGTTAAACATTGAAGGGTCATTGACCTCTCAGTCAAGGGGTGCGGGGTCATTGACCTCCCGGACAAGAGGGGGGGGGGGTCATTGACCTCTCGGTCAAGGGGTGTGGGGTCATTGACCTCCCGGACAAGAGGGGGGTCATTGACCTTCCGGTTAAGTGGAGGGGGGTCATTGACCTCTCGGTCAAGAGGGGGAGAGTCATTGACCTCCCGGACACTAACTACTCAAGCACAAGACAAAGGTATGTCACCAGAACTACGAGTTATGAGTAATAATGTTGACATTATGATATACAATAAATGTACATCACGACTCTAAAGAGCAAGTTTCTCGTATATCTGAGCTGCAACAATTTCTAATTAATCTTAATTACATCACCCAAAACTTTTACAAAACGTTGACAAAGTCAACAATGACAACATAAGTTCTGTGCACTTACCCAGGTAAAGTCCCGAGGAAATGTAAATGGACACACAACAGTCCTTCATGCTATGTCAAGTCTTCTCAGAAAATGCTGACACGCGTTCCAGGACTACAAGTCCTGTCCAAGGACCATGTCAGATCCACAAAGAAATACAAGCACATACACACACATACTGCAGGCCTTAAGGCAATGTCCAAGCTGCAGAGGCGTGGGTGAAGGTGCGGTGTATTGATTACAAGGTACAGACGCACCTTCACCCTCGCCTCTCTCCTGCCCTCATGGTCTAAAGCCTCATTTGAAGCCCCTTACCAAAGCTTCTCAATGATCGACCACCGTATCGCTCTATTGTCTCAGTCAGGGAGTTTAAGATTCTCTCCGTGATACGAATAAGACTCTATCCTGACCTATATTATATTTATATATTTTCCTAAGGGTCCGTCAAGGTGAGGTGAGTGTGTGTGTGTGTGAGAGTACTCATTTAAATGTGTTGAGCTCCAGCTCCCCGGTCCGCCTCCTGACTTTCGGTCGCCTGACGAAGCTTATTTTTTCTATCATGATGGCTAACGCGGAAATATCCAGTCATACAACACTGGCCATCGTAATTGAGTTTGATCTGTCCAGTGTTCGTTCCATTCTCTTATTTTGAAGATATTTGGTCGTCATTTCAATGATCTGGTTTGCCTGACGTGAATTTATCCTTATTGAGAGCAGGTGAAGTCTAAATCAAGGTGAGAGGTCTAAGCTGGTGCTATGTAGAATAATACCACATGCAAGGCACATAAAGTAGTGATAATTTCCATATGAATGATTGTAATTGCTGTCTTCATGACGGTAGCTTAAAATATATCTTCAAATTCTATTTAAATAAAACAAATATTCCTGAATGATTGGACTTTTGTAATTAATTTACCTTACAAATTAGTTTCGTTACTCATTTGCACATAAATACGTCATAATGAGAGCTTAACACGTGAACATTATAATTACATTCTGTATATTAAAAAGGGCACACATACATACGCATAAACACGCACACACACACTCACATACACACACACACACACACACACACACACACACACACACACACACACACACACACACACACACACACACACACACACACACACACACACACACACACACACACACACACACACAGTGATGTGGTGGAGGCTGACTCCATGCACAGTTTCAAGTGTAGATATGACAGAGCCCGATAGGCTCATGAATCTGTACACCTGTTGATTGACGGTTGAGAGGCGGGACCAAAGAGCCAGAGCTCAACCCCCGCAAACACAACTAGGTGAGTACAACTAGGTGAGTACACACACACACACACACACACACACACACACACACACACACACACACACACACACACACACACACACTCTTCCTGGGAATGTGAATGTGTGTTAGAAATATATGTAGTTGAAACGATAAAGGAAAATAGATGGAAACCCAGTACATTAGACAACCGACAGATAGAGAGGCGGGGTCCAAGAGCTAACAACTCCATCCTGCAGGCACAAATAGTAAATATATAAAAACACAAACACACACTAACTGAACAATCTCAATTCTTACTTACACAGACTAAGTGATGAACTCACACAAACTCTCAAGCACACTTAATGAAAAGGAAAAATATTGTGCAACTTTTACATTTTATTGTGATATTTCCATACATGATAAATATCTTATATGCCATAGTCGTCTATAGACACTGTCAGAGAATTGCTCTCAACTTCTGGAAACTTAGCTATGAAAACGTCTGATATATTATTATAGTTTATATATGTACAGAAAATGTATATACATTATATATAAATAAATTAACTATATACATACATATATATATATATATATATATATATATATATATATATATATATATATATATATATATATATATATATATATATATATATATATATATATATATATATATATATATATATATATATGACACTGGTCTCATTAATTCTGAAAAAACACAATGAAGAGCGAGTATTACCAAAGCGGCTGCAACCCGTCAGGGCGTCTTCCTTAAGAACGAGGGGATCAAGGAAGAGGAGGAGAATATATGGAGGGTCAGCAAGGAGCCGTAAGAAGATGAATGAGGGTCATCCCAGAGCCAAGCACACTCTCCAAGAACCCTAAACAGTTTCAGACTAACTCAAGTCATATGAAAGATGATGCAATACATTTCCAGGACTTCACAAGGCAATTCTAAACCGCTTTAGAGACTACAGTTCTCCCTTAAATTACCCTCAAAAGACACACATAATCTAGCCGCCCTCAGAAGAAATTGATGCTCTCCCACTCCCTAAGGGAGTACCTCCTAAAAATAGTAAGTCGAGCCAGACATGGGCAGTAGGCAGCGAGGGTGGTAGCCACGACTCCTAGCATATACGACCACCCGAAGCTGCAGTCCCCTGACCAGTAGACGGACGATGATCCCCCACACTCCCCACGGGCCAGAGGGGAGCCCAGCCCCAGTGGGAACAACACCAGCGCCACTCCCTGTGACATTACTGTGAAAGAGAAAATGGAAAATCAAATTGAATTGGCAAAAATAAGTGTTAAGGGGATGGGAATATTGTCTATATATAAAGTCTGTGAAAGGAAGACTTCGTGCATATAATGACCTGTGGTGGGGGAAACGGACCGGGATATTGATTGTGGGATGAGAAGCTTGTATATATATACTGACAATGGGAGAAGGAAAAGTAAGGTTCCTTTCCAACACAGTAATCATACCTACATGGGTATACTGCCAACACACACACACACACACACACTCACACTCACACACACACACACACACACACACACACACACACACACACACACACACACACACACACACACACACACACACACACACACACACACACACACACACACACACACACACACACACACTCACCTACAGCCACCTGGATATTGCCAATCCAGATAGCGAGAGTGTACTTGCGGGCGTGAGTGCGGGCGGCTTGTAGTGCCAAGGACGCCACGCCTGCAACCACCTGCACCACGCCCGCGAACCCGTACAACACGCCCACCAGAACCCACACTGCGGAGGAGCCGGCACCCACGCCCACACCAGAGCATAGCAGGATGGGCTTTCGTGGGCGGTAGTCGTAGTCTGTGGAAACACACACACACATTATATATATATATATATATATATATATATATATATATATATATATATATATATATATATATATATATATATATATATATATATATAAACCTAAAAGGGGTATATATATATTTGTCATTACAGCCGAAATAGAGTGTATTCATATTCTTGAGTACATTCTTGTGTAACCCGTTGGGGGCAGAGTTCGGTTAATGGGTAGTGCTCGCGTTAATCGTACTAGTTAACGAAAAATCGTATTATTAGTTGACTAAGCTGTTGGATAATTGCTTTAACTGGATTAATTAGGATGGGGTCCGGATAACGTAGAACATATATCACTGATTATAACATGTTGTTGACCAAAATAACTGCGCAAGATTCTTGGTATGGTCAACAATGTCTTCATAACTCACCTTAGCTAAACTTGGGGAAAATTAGATGTTGATCAAAATATGAACACCTTCCCAAAATAAGTTTTGGATGATAACTCCTTAAAGTACCCTAACAATAACTTGAACAATAAAAACAATCACAATGTCAACAGCATCAACTGCTTCACACAGCGCCATGATGTGTGAAGCTTTTCACTTGCACTACACACAGAAATCACAATAGCGTGATGCATCAAATGAACAAATCCACAAAGGCCGTGACGAGGGTTCGAACCTACGTCCGAGAGGACCCCGATTCGAACCCTCGTCACGGAACTTGTAGATTTGTTCTTTAAACTTGGTTTTCAACTTTCCTCATACAGAGGAGCGAGAGATGTTTACCCCTGCTGCCGGCTGATCATCTTCCCAGCTGTGGTATAACAATAGGATTCAGGTGCTGAAAAATGCTATTTACATGTAGTGGATTGAAAGCCTATACAAATCTGCCTTACCTTCCATGCGCTACAGCGATAACAAAACAATAGTTTAGCAATAGATTAACCATAGAGACAACAGTAGATGTTGACTAACAGACTGTCAGTCTAACTGCCACATGTACTGAGTTATACATGTGACTCTTAGTACATTGCTGCGAATGAATTGTACATGTACCAATTCATTCGCAGCCTAACAGACTCATGTTTACTCACGGACTGTGAGACCAACACCCACATTGATTAGCAGGATTAATCACTCAGACTACCAATCTCACGGACTACCAGATTCACCACCTGGCCAGCCACGCCCGTCAACAGTCCGGACGCTATGGACATCAGCGGCCAAAACAACTGGACACAAACCATTTCAATCTGGACACCTACTCAGACACATAGGCCCGCATGTTCCCTTGATTTGCCACAACATGCAAAATAAAGGGTAGTATTACGTATCAGCCCAAGCCACCCACCTAACCTAACATAATTAACCTAACCTAACTTAACCTACCCTAACCTAACCTAACCTACCCTAACCTAACCTAACCTACCCTAACCTAACCTAACCAACAATCGCATGGCAAACGGACATACTTGTAAGCCAATACTTTTCATAGTACCCATTATTTTGCACGTTGGGGACCGTAGCTTACAGAACAACCCGTTCTCGCAAATTCGTAAAGTCAATATTGACTTATTAACTACGTGCATAGGTGATATACTAAACATAATAGATACCCTTAAAAAGATTCATAGAAAACACCGACCTTACCTAACCTTGTTAGTATCTTAAGATAAGCATCTTATTGCTTCGTAATTACAATTATTACTTAACCTATACCTATTATAGGTTAGGTAATAATTGTAATTACGAAGCAATAAGATGCTTATCTTAACATACTAAGTAGGTTAGGTAAGGTCGGTGTTTTCTATGAATCTTTTTAAGGGTATCTATTATGTTAAGTATGTCACCTATGCACATATTTAATAAGTCAATATTGACTTATTAAATTTGCGAGAACGGGTTGTACAGAAGCAAGTGCATTAGTTGAGACGATAGATACCAGTTGAATAAATGGGTTGATCAATGATCAACCCAGTTCAACCCGGGAACTGGTTGTTGTTATTTGTGCTTTTAGAGTTAGCTACTCAGACCGACATGTCCATGTAGCAGGGGCTATAGTGAGCCCATAAGGAACCTGGTTAATGGAGGTATTAGTGTGGACTCGAGCTGGGAGAGAGAGAGAGGAGGGGGAGTCCCAGTGGCGTGCCTGCTCCCCGTACCTGCCGCTAGTATATGACTATATTCCCCCGAGATATATCCCTACATTTTTGCTCCTTCGTAAGGTTGATTCTCATGGAGGAAAGCAGCGTTCATGGGCTGTAAAAGAATCGTTTGTTTTAGTATTAGTTTAAAAATATCAACAGAAGCGATAATTCTGGTGTTAACTTTAGTAGTAGTAGTTTTAGTAGTAATAGTAGTAGTAGATGTAGTAGTAGTAGTAGTAGTAGCAATAGTAGTAATAGTAGTAGAAGAGGCAGCAGTGGTAGTAGAACCAATGGCAGTAGTAGAATAAACGCAACATCAATAATTAATGTAAAAATTACACAAGTTATATTTTATATTAGAAATAAAAAACCCATTTTCTCACAATACATTCACAAACTCCCCCAAAAAATCATGGGTTACTTAAAACTTCTTGAAATTTTGTACCCATAATTTCTGCAGTAAAACACTTGCCCGACCATTATTCGTAAACTAAGAGGGAGTCTTTAAACCCACTCTTGCGTGTCCTATACAAATTTCTTTCCCTAAACGTTCCCTCAGGATTATGCAACTGGAATCATGGGGGCTGTTGGTGGCATATTAGACTAAATCAACTTTATGCTGAATATATACACTGAGGGGGAAAATCCGTTCACTCAGCGGATGGTAATGTGGGGAGTTGTAGTTTGGCTAAGGGGACGAAGAATTTTTATGTTTGCGTGTGTGTGTGTGTGCTGTGTGCGTGTATGTATATGTGTACTCATGTAGTTGTGCTTACGGGGTAAGCTTCGGCTCTTTGGTTTTTCAATGGGTGTGTACTCACCTAGTTGTGTTTTCGGGGGTTGAACTCTGGCTCTTTGGTTCCGCCTCACAATTGTCAATCAACTGGTGTACAGATTCCTGAGCCTACTGGGCTCTATCATATCTACATTTGAAACTGTGTATGGAGTCAGCCTCCACCACATCACTTCCTAGTGCATTCAATTTACTAACTACTCTGACACTGAAAAAGTTCTTTCTAATGTCTCTGGGGCTCATTTGGGTACTCAGCTTCCTCCCGTGTCCCCTTGTTCGCGTCCCTCCAGTGTTGAATAGTTCATCCTTGTTTACCCGGTCGATTCCCCTGAGGATTTTGTAGGTTGTGATCATGTCCCCCCTTACTCTGTGTGTGATTGTGTGTGTGTGTGTGTATTCACTTAGTTGTATTCACCTAGTTGTGTTTGCGGGGGTTGAGCTCTGCTCTTTCGGCCCGCCTCTCAACTGTTACTAACTACTATTTTGTCCCCCCCCCTCCCACAACAATACACCCAGGAAGCAGCCCGTGACAGCTGATTAACTCCCAGGTACATATTTACTACTAGGTAACAGGGGCATTAGGGTGAAAGAAACTCTGCCCATCGTTTCTCGCCGGCGCCGGGAATCGAACCCGGGCCTCAGGATTCCGTATCCAGCGTGCTATCTACAGTGTCACCGGCGCTCCGGTGTGTGTGTGTGTGTGTGTGTGTGTACTTACCTAATTTACCTAATTTACCTAATTGTACTTACCTAATTGTGCTTGAGGGGGTTGAGCTCTTGCTCTTTGGTCCAGCACTCAACCGTCAATCAATAGGTGTTGATTGACGGTTGAGTGAGCCTATTGGGCTCTAACATATCTACACTTGAAGCTATGTATGGAGTCAGCCTTCACCACATCACTTCCTAATGCATTCCATTTATCAACCAATCTGACTCTAAAAAAGTTCTTTCTAACGTCTCTATGGCTCATTTGGGCTCTCAATTTCCACCTGTGTCCTCATGTGCATGTGCCCCTTGTGTTAAAAAGTCTGTCCTTATCTACCCTATCAATTCCTCTGAGAATCTTGTATGTGGTAATCATGTCCCCTCTAACTCTTCTGTCTACCAGTGACGTGAGGTTTAATTCCCGTAGTCTCTCCTCGTAGCTCATACCCCTCAGTTCTAATACTAGTTTGGTGGCAAACCTTTCAACCTATTCCAGTTTAGCTTTATGCTTGACTAGATATGGATTCCATGCTGGAGCTGCATACTCCAGGATTGGTCTGACATATGTGGTATATAATGTTCTGAAAGATTCCTTACACAAGTTTCTGAAGGCCGTTCTTATGTTAGCCAACCTGGTATATGCCGCTGATGTTATCCTCCTGATATGAGCTTCAGGGGACAGGTCTGGCGTGATGTCAACCCCCAGGTCTTTCTCTCTCTCTGACTCTTGCAGGATTTCATCTCCCAAATGATACCTTGTATCTGGTCTCCTGCTCCCTACACCTATCTTCATTGCATTACATTTGCTTGGGTTAAACTCTAACAACCATTTGTTCGACCATTCTTGCAGCTTGTCCAGGTCGTCTTGAAGCCTCAAGCTGTCCTCCTCTGTCTTAATCCTTCTCATAATTTTGGCGTCGTCAACAAACATTGAGAGGAATGAGTCTATACCCTCTTGGAGAAGAATGAGAGTTTGTATGTGTGTATGTGTGTGTTTTCACCTAGTTGTTTTCACCTAGTTGTGTTTGCGGGGGTTGAGCTTTGCTCTTTCGGCCCGCCTCTCAACTGTCAATCAACTGTTTACTAACTACTACTTTTTCTACTGTGTGTGTGTGTGTGTGTGTGTGTGTGTGTGTGTGTGTGTGTGTGTGTGTGTGTGTGTGTGTGTGTGTGTGTGTGTGTGTGTGTGTGTGTGTGTGTGTGTGTGTGTGTGTGTGTGCGCGCGCGCGCGTGTGTGCGTGTGTGTGTGTGTGTGTGTGTGTGATGTATCAGACCAATCCTGGAGTATGCAGCTCCAGCATGGAGTCCATATCTAGTCAAGCATAAGACTAAACTGGAAAAGGTTCAAATGTTTGCCACCAGACTAGTACCCGAACTGAGGGGTATAAGCAATGAGGAGAGACTACGGGAATTAAACCTCACGTCGCTGGAAGACAGAAGAGTTAGGGGGACATGATCACCACATACAAGATTCTCAAAGGAATTGATAAGGTAGATAAAGAAAAGCAATTTAACACAAGGGACACACTCACTAGAGGACACAGGTGGAAATTGAGTGCTCAAATGAGCCACAGAGATATTAGAAAGAACTTTTTTAGTGTCAGAGTGGTTGACAAATGGAATGCATTAGGAAGTAATGTGGTGGAGGCTGACTCCATACACAGTTTCAAGTGTAGATATGATGGAGCCCGATAGGCTCAGGAACCTATACACCTGTTGATTGACGGTTGAGAGGCGGGACCAAAGAGCCAGAGCTCAATCCCCGCAAGCACAAATAGATGAGTACAAATAGGTGAGTACACACACACACACACACACACACACACACACACACACACACACACACACACACACACACACACACACACACACACACACACACACACACACACACACACACACACACACACACACACACACACACACACACACAGTGCCCCAACATTCAATACAAATATCGATACCAGAAAATTCCTTCTCTTCGGTTGTTATCCCTTAAATAATTACAGTCAGCTCAGCCTCTAGACACCAACTCAAAAACCAGCTCCTCTTAACCGGACTGGATATTCGCTAACGATGTACTCGAGGCCGGATGAAAAAATACAAATATTACTAGTTATTGTGACCGAATGCGCAAGCAAATCGTAACCAAATATAAATCAGTGCCTGCGCTCTCTCTCTCTCTCTCTCTCTTTCCTCTGTCTCGCTTTCTCTTTCCTCCATCTCTTTCTTTCCTCTCTCTTCATCTCGCTCTATACCGTCGTCCAAGCAAGAGGCGAGGGCGTCGCTCTTTCGAGAATTCCAAGAGGCTGTGTAACTTTGGGCAGTGATCTGTTTCAGAAATATCTGGACGAACACGTATGGAATGCACACCTGATCCTGTAGGTATCTGTGTGGAGCACACATCTGGTGCTCAGGGTACATGTAACACACACACACCTGGTGCTTGTTACTTGTGAGGAACGTACATCTGGTTCTCAGGGTAGACCATAATGTAGGTGTAGAACAGAATTAGAACGGAACAAATGTACCTAGAGCGGAACAAATGCCTAGTACTCATGATATCAACGTGGAACATTTATCTGGTACTGAGGCCGGCTGTATGAAACATATACCTAGTACTTAGGCCGGCTATATGAAACATATACCTAGTACTTAGGCCGGCTGTATGAAACATATACCTAGTACTTAGGCCGGCTGTATGAAACATATACCTAGTACTTAGGCCGGCTGTATGAAACATATACCTAGTACTTAGGCCGGCTGTATGAAACATATACCTAGTACTTAGGCCGGCTGTATGAAAACATATACCTAGTACTTAGGCCGGCTGTATGAAACATATACCTAGTACTTAGGCGGCTGTATGAAACTATACCTAGTACTTAGGCCGGCTGTATGAAACATATACCTAGTACTTAGGCCGGCTGTATGAAACATATACCTAGTACTTAGGCCGGCTATATGAAACATATACCTAGTACTTAGGCCGGCTGTATGAAACATATACCTAGTACTTAGGCCGGCTGTATGAAACATATACCTAGTACTTAGGCCGGCTGTATGAAACATATACCTGGTCTTAAAGGTGCATATGTGAAACAAACACCTGAGTGTCCAGGTACTAGGAGAACATGGACGCGTGCACTGTATCGGGAATCGATCGCGTCTCTTGTTTGACTTCTCTCTCTTTTTTTTTTAACACGAAACTACTGAACAAAAACAGGAGAAATAGCCAAAGAGAAAGAATCGTCTGCTAGTTCCATTATAAAAGGCATATTTGAAATAAAAATATATATAATATATAAAAATATATATAATATATAAAAATATATATAATATATAAAAATATATATAATATAAACAACAACTACAGGACAATTGTCTGCGCAGTCGTTTCACAACTAATAGGCCCCGGGATCCCTTCCCGCGTTGGATGGAGACGTTTGGGCATCTTTCCTTTCGCGTGATACTCTGTTCAGTTAACAGTAAATAAGTACAAATGAGTTAGGCAACTTCTGGTGTACCAAACTATATTTTTAATGAGAATTAACATGAATTAAGTTTGGGAGTTTAGTAGTAATAATTTGGGATCAAAATAAAAATGAAGAGACTATAGCAACAAGTATTAGTACATCACTAAGAGCAATAATTCAAATAATAATAATAATAATAATGAATTATTATTATTATTATTATTATTATTATTATTATTATTATTATTATTATTATTATTATTATTATTACAAAGTATTTTAATAAATAAATCTGAGATCCTCAATAATTATATGATTCATTCAAATGAGTAATTTTCGTTTCAACCCTTGCAAAGTATTTGTAAATGTTCATTCACTTTAACGGGCGCGAAGAACGATGGTCTTGCAAGTCGTCCATCTTTCCCTACTGAACCAAATGGTTTGATATAAAGTTCCTTCAGCTCATTCCCCATATTATAATTCCTAATCCTGTCCTCGTATACATTCCATGTAATACTGGTTAAGCACTTTACCCTTACCTTTCCCTTTCCGTCCGTCTCCCTGTCTGACTTGCTCTCGTATTCGAGTATATAAAAGCATACTCACCGACGATGTCATGATAACTCCTCAGCTTCTCTGGCTGAACGAGGCGCTCGGCGATAACCAGTTTCTCGCGGCTAGTTATCATCATCGCTGGGCGAGCCGTCAGGTGACCTGGCGCTATGTTGATATTATGTGAAGTTGGCGATCCGCTTTCCCGACGATTTCCCTGCTTAACAAGCTGTTTTTCCGATTTCAGCTTTTTTTTCCTGTTCTTTTTTCTTCTCCTATCTTTCTTTTTCTTTCTTTTGTTTTTATTTACTGTTGTGTTTGCTTGATCTACTGTCCTACCTTTGTCGGTTTTGAAGTTCGGGATAAAATATCTTTTTCCACTGTCGGCCTCCAGTCCAGTGTCACCTCCTCCTTGGCTATGGAAGGTCGTGTTTCTGTCTTCTGTAATGGCGATCTCATATTCCGGAATCTCCTGCATTTCTTTGCCGCCTCTGAGTACACTAAATTCAAGCTTTTCCTCCGGGAAGTGCAGTATACTCGCGTTATCTTTTTCATGATTTACGATCTTTACATAAGTTTCGGTCACATGGGAAAAGAGATTTTCCGTGTTTTTCTCTTCGTTCGTAATATCTTCACCTGTTTTCGTTGAGGCTTCAGAGACCTCGGATGATTTCGTTGCATCAACGGTCTCATTGTCAGGGTCGCCTAGAATAGTGGAACCTGTGGGAACGTGACCGAAGCCGTCATCTCCACTACCGAAGGCTAATGTTACGTCATGTGCTTCCAGGGGCGGCCACTCATGCACAGAACCCGCCGTAGACCT